CATGAGAAAGTTCAAGCAGGGGATCAAGGCAAGCAGCAAGAAGGGCAGTCAGGAAGTCGTGTTTGGCAACAGATTGGTAGTAGAGGAGAAAGTAGTTTAGCAATCCGACTCGGCAACAATTAGGCAATAGAAGGCTTTAGCATCATAGCTTGCAGGTAGGTAGTAAGATGACAAAGCACAAGCCTCTTCATAGGCTGGTACCAAAATATACTCCTGGCCACTCCCAGCGTCATTAGTGTTTTGCATTTGCATGTTGGAAAACCAGGATACGGCAGTATGAGGGGCAAATAAATGTTGGTTTTAGAGGGGCGGAGAGAGCTGGAAATGAGCAATGCCTGGACAGAGCTGTAACAGAACCCCTAATGGTTTTCGGTGGCTTGGCACAAAGTATCAGCTGTGTATAATGAGAAGTACAGTCTAGTTGTTGAAATATCTCCACACCAGCCAACTTTTGTGCAACTGGAGATGATGGGCAAGTATTGTGTTGGGTTCTAGAGATCACAGGTTTGTGCGAGGGAGGACAAAATATCAATGCTGTTCATTTTCATCATATCTTCCCATCTATTGACAATCCTACAAAGTTGCACTTATTTTGCCTATTCAGGGCAAAGTCACAATGTCTGTGTAAAGGCCTCCACTGATATAATTTTCTCTAGTGTTTCCCTCCTGCTTCTCCCTTCATCGCTGCCAACACAAAATATTATTTGCTTCCAGGTATGGGGAAGCATTTGACCTTCTATGGTGCAGTGCTCAGGCTTATTGCTGCAGTGCCCAATTGCTACACCCATGCAGTGTCAGATGATGGAGGGGGTGCTGTAAACCCTCCCTCTGACATGAAGTATATTGGTGGCAACCGCAATGAAGTATGGAATGATGCCTGTTGTGTTATGTACACAAAGGATACTATTATCACTATGCAAAGGTGTACTGGTCAAGATCCTTCTGTTCCTCTGATTGTATGGTGGCACCATCCACCAATTCCCTACAGCACCCTACATGAACTATGGGTGAGCCTGTAAGGAATGCAACGGATACAATACAACTACTCAATGCAAGTCAGTTGGGAGGAGAGTGTCTTTATACAGGCACTGTCGATTTTCCCTGCCAGTGTCTTTTTACAGTAGAAGTCAAGTATGGAGATTTGTAAGGAATGAGCCATGGAGTTTGCTCTCTGGAAGATTTCCCCTCACTTCCATTTATGATAGATGGTGTAAACAGGGATAGGAAATGGGAGGAAATTTCCCCAACAGATTTCTTGTTCCTGACCAAGCTATGTGGTTTCTGGAGGGGAGGCAGAGAATGTGGTGATGCTGTCTGCTAGGAATTCCTAAATCGCTAGACTGGCTGAATAGAATTAAAGATCACTTGGCAAGTAAAACAGTAATATATGTATTTCAGCTGTGCATTGCACAGGCACACTTATAGAAAGGAATGAGCTCCCCAATGAGCTGCAATGTCTATGGACAGGCTAGGTGGGTCATGGGCCTGGCTGTATTGTTTGTAGAAAGTCCTAGGACCTGGCTGTGCTGTCTGGCACTAGTACCTGGATCGCATAATTGGCTGAACATATGCAGAAATCATGTTGCAGATAAAACATTTCACATATTCGTTTCAGCTGTGGCTTTAGCTTGGAGTTCAGAATTACAAAATTAGTTTGCCATACAACAGATTTGGCTTTTTTTCCTTTAGATACACATTTTGCTATTTATGTTTCCAAAATATTCCAGTTACACTGTTATTCTAGAGAGCGCCATTGCTGCTTATGCTTTTCATAGGACTATATTTGGATTATGTCTCAGACTTTTCTCAGGGAAACTTTGTTTTATCACATGTTAAGTATGAAGTTGTACTTTTTATGTTTAGCCAGTGTAAACTGGGAATCGAAAATGTAACATGTATTTACCACTCTTAGGGCGATTAATAAAAATAAACACTTTTATACAGTAAGCTAAAGAGCTATGTGTGTGTTACTAGAAACCCCAGCAGCCAATCAGGTCTCAGTTCCAGTTCATCATATTTCCACTTGCGTTTGCAGGAATATCCTGTAGAAACCACTGCAAGCCAATGGTCAACAAGCTGAGGCCCACCTCTAAAAGCCAACATTCTTTTTTGTCAGCTTGGTGGTGCATTGCAGCTTGACAAGACCTGGCATCTTACATATATGATCACTGTAAGGACTGGAGCAACATCACAGCTTGGTATCTGTTCTATTGCCCATTCGCTTACTATGGATGAAGGGTCTGAGGACAGGTGATGTGACATTATCTGTTGTCACGAGTTGTCTTTAGGTTGGGAGCTGTTGAGGATCGCCTGTTCTATAGCCTATAACAAGTAAGGAGTCATTTTTATAATTGCTGTATAGGAGGTGCAAAGAATGCCATCTGTACGTGACCCATAAGGTAATATGACCCAAATACATCCCTCTCCAGTTTACCCCAGTACCTACTGTAGAGAAAACCGCATTTCTTTCCTTCATTCAAACCCCCCTTCCTTTATTTTTCCTGCTTATTGACCCTGCTCTCTGACTTTGTTCTCAGCCATCTTCAATGAGCATGCATTGGTGGATGAAAAAAAAGCTAGAAGCTGTGCAATAGGTTGGCTTCACACATGTGCCAGCACACAGCTGACCAGCAGTCTGCATGCCCTAGAGCAGTGGTCTCCAAACTGTGGCCTGTGTGCCTTTATCTGGCCCTTAGGGCACTATTCCTCCCACTGATACAAGGCACTATTCCTCCCACTGACACCAAAGATGGAGAACTATTCATCCACTGACACCATAAATAGGGCACTATTCCTCCCACTGATATCATAGATGGGGGGGGGGGGGTCTATTCCTTCCACTGATACCAATGATGAGGCATTATTCCTCCCACTGATACCAATGATACCAATGATGAGGCACTATTCCTCCCACTGATACCAATGATGGGGCACTATTCCTCCCACTGATACCAATGATGGGGCACTATTCCACCTACTAATACCAGTGATGGGGCACTATCCCTCCCACTAATACAAATACCAATGATGGGGCACTATCCCTCCCACTAATCCAAATTAAATACCAATGATGGGACACCATTCCTCCCACTGATACCAACAGTGGGACATTTTTCCTGCTCCTAGATTGTAGGCTCGAAAGAGCAGGGCCCTTGACCCCCTCGTGTTTTGTTTTGTTACTGTATTGTCTCATGTTCTGTCCCCCACTACAATGTACAGCACTGAGCAAACCTTTTAGCGCTATATAAATACTGTATAATAATAATAATACTGACACCAACGATGGAGAATTTTCTCCCCACTAATACCAATACCTCCTACTGCCCACCAGTGTTATGTAATTATTCTACCCTCATTGACCACCAAGTCTGGGGCCTTTTCTACTCCCACTGGCCTCAGTCTTGCTCTCCTAAAGCCTGAAGGACTGTAAACTGGCCCTTTCCTTAAAAAGTTTGCAAACCCCTGCCCTAATGTGTGTCACCAATGGTCCAGGAGATGCACAAGCTTTGTCAGCATCGTTACCCCAAGATAGGAAATGCATTATTGGCAAGATCAACTGGTCAAAACTGAGGAAAAAAAAACCTGCACAAAGAAATGGACTCCCTCCATGCAATCAACTGAGGGTAACCTGATAGGCTTTTTTGGAGGTTATGCATATTTTATAAATAGCAATGATAAGACCCTGAAAGACTGACTGACAATAAGACCCTAGGGCTTCTGGTGGCTTAGCACATCTGCACTTTTGTGTTATCAATGCTACTCATTATTTACACTGCCTACATCATATAAAATTGAGAAGGCTTCTATAAGTGTTTTAGGAATGCTATAAAAATGCTTAAAGGCTTAGGCATCATTATTATACTTTAAGCCTATTATGAGTTAGCAAGTTCAGTAGGTCCTTAATCTTAGTTGAGAACATTGTGTGCATATAAGACTACGGATAAATCCACTGTCACAATTAAAATTTTTGTTTTCCCACATAAAGATTTAGTTAAAATATATCAAGAGTATACACAGAGAAAAATGTGATATTAACAAATACAGATCGATTTGGAAATGTCACAATGATTAGAATAGATAAAATTAAATTTTGTGGTCATCCAACACTACAATTTCAGCTTTGGTGGACGTGGTACAGTACATACTAACTTCTGATCTGTCTTTTAAAGTTCACAACCCTGAACTCTGCTCCCAGATCTACATACCAGCCTCATAGATGGTTTGTCTCTTGAAGTTTACTTTCTTTCATTCTGTTCCTGAATCTACATACCAAGCTCAAAGATGGTCTTTCTCTTGAAATTTGCGTTCTCTAATTCTGTTCCCAAATCCAGATAGCAAGCTCAAAGATGGTCTTTCTCTTGAAATTTGCATTCTATAAGTCTGTTCCCAAATCTAGATACCAAACTCATAGATGGTCTGCCTTTTGAAGTTTGCATTTTATAATTCTGTTTCCGAATCTAGGTACCAGATTTATAATCTCGCTTTTGAAGTTCAAAGTCCTGAATTCTGCAACTGTACATACAAGGCTCATAAATGGTCTGTCTCTTGAAGTTTGCATTCTTTAATTCTGTACCCAAATCTAGGTACCAGATTTATAGATAATCTCTCTTTTGAAGTTCAAAAACTTTCTGCTCTTGAACCTAGGTACCGGGCTCATAGAAGTATATTGTAGAAGTGTCCAACAGTCAGGGAGTTGGAACAAAGAGCAGATTCATTCACAGTAGGCCATTGCTAAGTATAACCAAATCTGAAGAAACTGGAGTTTTGTAAAGCAGACACATTTTCACACTTATGACCAGAGCTAAGACCACATCCAGGTTTGCAATGTACTTTCCATTCAGTACGTTCCTGAAGTACCTGCATTGCATTGTGGTAGCTGGTAAGATTTGGCTTCAGGTTTGACTTATCTATACTCATCCTGTAGTAAAGCCATTGTCTTCTGCATATCTCAGAACTCATCATTTGTATTTTTTTAATCTACAGAAGAGTGGTAAGTAAGGATGGCAGAAGCCCACCAAGCCGTCGCATTTCAGTTTACAGTAACTCCAGATGGCATTGACTTGAGATTAAGTCATGAAGCTCTGCGACAGATCTATCTTTCTGGCCTCCACTCGTGGAAGAAGAAGTTCATTAGATTTAAGGTAACAAAAGACCATAGGTGCAATGATATTATCGAATGTAATTTGTTACTTGATTTTTATTAATACATTCTGTCACAGATACACTGTATTTCTTAACAAAATACACTGTTCACATGGAGATGTTGCCAGATGTTACCAAACACCTTCAGACTTTGGGTCTGGATGAGTTTTTTTGTAAAGTCATTGGTAAAAAAAAATTGTTACACATCCATTCATTGCATTCTTGATTGACTCCGTGCCACTGTTGTCATGCTAGAAAATTTATGAAAATATTATCTAGCTCCTTCCTCATAGTGGCATTTAAGAGCTTGGTTCCTGGGTGAAGTTTAATGCCTGGTGTCATTCTTTGCATTTGCATCTTGTTTGTATTTTATCATGGCAACACATGACAACAGTGTGACAGACACAACTGTAAGAGAGATGTTTGAGAAGCAAGAAAGATAAAGAGAGAGAAGGGCTTATATATGAAGAGCGTGCTAATATGAACATTTCTTGTTGACCATCACAAGTTTTCAACGGTCATTTCTGCAGTCTGAGTTTGGAAAGATTGACAAAAGCCATTGTTGACCTTTTTTTGTGAAAATGTCAGTTGCCCAACTACAGTTGTTTTCCTCTTTTCATCTAATACTTCACAACTCTGACCAGGAACAAGTAGGCAGATCAGAAGTTCTGACTTTTACTTGACTTTCCTAATTGGCTGGTTAACAATAGCAGCCCCTGTATTTTTCCTAATAACAGGTTGAATCTTGGGGGTTTATTTACTAAATATGGAGAATGCAAAATCAGGCTCACTTCTGCATAGACACCAATCGGCTTCCAGGTTTTATTGCCAAAGCTTAATTGAAAAAGCTGAGGTTAGAAACTAATTGGTTTCTATGCAGAAATGGGCCTCTAGCTTTAGTAAATAAACTTCCTGATGTCCTTTGTGTATCTATTCCATTTCTGTGCAGTGCTCTAGTATGAAAGAACTCCTATACTTTTTCCCCTGTGCAGGACCTTTCTCTACTTATGACCAGTCACTGCTGCTCTCTCTGCTTGTGCAGAGAGATTGGTCTTGTATCCACCCCTCTCCTGTACTTTCTGTAGGCACACTGTAGTCAGCGGACTGTTCCACCCAAAGCTCTTCACAGGCTATGCACAGAAGAATTTTGATATGACTGCTATTTTTATAAAGGAAATATCAGGGTTTGAAAATGAACAATTATGTTCACAAAGTGGCTATATATCCTTTGTTGCTATTGAGGAATATATTTAATGATTGAATGTTTTTATGCCCAGAAGTAGAACTATAGGCAATTTGTTTTTTATTTTGGATAGCGTAAGGGAGGGTTTTAACCCCTGTAAGATTTTTATCTGCCATCTGTGTCCCATTGCAGAGATTTCCCTTCACTTCCTGTCCCATAGCCAAACAGGAAGTGAGAGAAAATCCCTGTAAATTAAGGGAATTCCTTGGGGACCCCCAGGTCACCAAAACTAGTTTCCCCATTGGAAGATTTCCCCACTTTTCTAGGGATAACCCATAATGGGATTTTCTTTTACTTTCTCTTTGGATGATAATGATAAACAGAGGGTGAATCTCCTTTACGGGGGCACAGACAGTGATAAAAACTGATGGGTTCTAATCCCTCTCTACTCTTTTCAAAACTAAAAATAACGTTTTGCCTTTAGTTATACTTTAAGCTTTAATGGTAAAGAATGTATGAGATGTGATGTTTAGTATCACTATTCCAAAATACATTCTTCATCTTTAATACGGGAACAATTTTTAAAGCATCTCCACCTCCTTAAAAAGATTCCACATTTTTTGCACCGACTACGAGATTAATCAGGAAATGTACAGGTGATACGAGTGGCTGAGCTAAAAGCCAGGTCCTGCCTATCACAGTCATGCCAAGTATAGAGAAAGATTTCCCTGCCTTGGTTGGTCCAAAATAGCAGTGAATATTTAGCAGGAAATTGAACCTGCTCCCCTCCACTAAATTAATTATACACTTTTGAATGAATTTACGCCTAGACACAGCAGTGGAGCCATAGCAGATCCAAACAAGTATAGACGCTAGCACGCCGATAAACTTACAGTAGGAAATTTGAATTACTGAGGCATAGCACAAATGGCGTTTTGGGGCCACACAAGGACCCTTTATTGTCACCTTGATAATGGGATCCAGGTTTGGCCCTGAAACCCTGCTAGTAAATCAAGATTTCCTCTGAAAGTTAATTGATGTACTGGCTACTTCTTTGCTTCTTTCTATAACCTTGGTACAATACCAGCATTATATTTTAATCTAATCACAAAATGTTTATTTGATGGGACACAGACTAAAATATTATTATTTCTTTCATAGAATGGAATCCTCACCGGCGTCTTCCCATCAAGCCCTACCAGCTGGTTAGTGGTGGTGGTTGGCGTGACATCAGCGCAAATGTATACCAAAGTGGACCCGTCACTAGGATTAATAGAGAAAATAAACCAAGCACTAGCTACAACGTAAGTCATTAAATGAGAGGACATTTGTACAATGATAAAGGAAGAAGGTCTGTGTCTCTATTCTGGGCTCACAGCCAAGAATGACACGTGTATTCTGTGTAGTCATGTGAGAAATAGAACCGCAATATGTTTTGAAGCAACGCACATTGCTCTAGTAGTGCTCAAACATTACACTATAGTACAGAAAGTCTGTGCAGTTCAGCACATCAATGATTAAGCAGACTCTTTGGTCTTAAAGTGGAACTCCGGCTATAATTGCCCACAAAGCCATCTGCCTTACCCCCTGTAGCCCCACAGGTCTTTTATTTAAAATGTCTATACAAACCTATTTCTGCAGTCTTCTAGAGAGTCCACTGAAGGAGGGGGCATTCCTCCTAGCCCAAGCACTGCTAAGTCCTAGAGTACTGAGAGCCCACCCAGTGCAGTGACCCACCCCCAGCGCGTGTGTTTACTACAGGCTGGGTTTACAGGAAAGTGGGCAGAATGAAGTGATTGTTATTCTTCTCGAAGATGCTATATGGAAGAATAAACTGGGGACAGCGCTGGAGCATGGAGAGTGTAAGTAAAGTTTTGTATCTTTTTTTTACGAAAAAAAAATACCTTGCAGTTCTACTAAAACAATACAAAGGCAGCAAAAGTAAACATAATAAAAGCAGTTAAAGCGGAGCTCCACCCAAAAGGGGATGTTCCGCTTTAAGCCTTTGCCCCCCGCTCCCCATTAAGGATTGGCACCTTTGGGGAGCGGGTACCCGAATTTGACAGGTACCTGCTCCCACTTCCGCTGCGATCGCCTAGGCGCTGGGGAGTGGAAGTTGTTCTCTCCCCCTCCCTCCCCGTAGTCTTCTAGGACATGTGACAGGTCCCAGAAGACTACGGGGCCATTCACAAAGCTCAGCGCTTCTCGCGCATGCGCAGTGGGCACCCGGCCGTGAAGCCGCAAGTAGTCACAGCCGGGTGCCCACACTGAAGATGCCGGTGCCAGGGAGAGAAGATGGCCGGTGAAACCAGCGTTGGTGAGGACACCGCTAGACCGAGGGACAGGTAGTTTTGGTTTACAGTGGGAATTAGACTTTGACTGCGAAGACTGATTTGTGAAAGCTGAATCTGTGGCGTATAGCAATTAATAGGGTTTTGTGTTGTAGGTGAAACAAGAAATCTGACTGTATGCTATGTAGCACAAAGCCACGTTTGCTTGATGTTTCTTTTACTCATCTGTCATTTATTCCCTGGTAGGTAGCTGACAGTACACAGCCCGGTGTAGCGGGTGTTTACAACAGTGGAGCAACTGCTGTAGGGAGCAGGCCTTTTTTTTTACCCCATTTTACAAACCTTTCATGTGTAACAAAGCTTGTTTTGCTCAGTGATGGTGACAGCACAGCAATGTTAGAAAAAAATACTGTATGTATGCAAACTAAAATGTGTTTCTAGATGGACCACTTGGCTTTGGATCATGGTGATTACAGACCTGGAATTTTCTCAGTTCAGTTTCTGCTATGTGTGTCCTGCATGCTACCTTCACTGCACTGGTCCTGCCATAGAGAAACATTGCTGCCTTGGCACATAGTCCTGGGATGGCTATGGTTCTCCAATGGCTAGGACCAGTTCAGGCACAACCTTTTTACAAGGCACTGGAATAAACATATTTGGCACCCTGGTCTGGGTGGGCAGCACCACTAGGAGCAAGGTTTGTCTGCATATGATATCTGTTCCCATTAGGAACTTTGAGGAGAATGTGAGAGGCAAGCAACATTTCTTGCTATTAATAGAAATAGTGTAATGTCAGCGGACAATGTTAATACAGTTCTGATTTGTTCAGTCCTGATCCAGAAAATACATTAAAGCCATAAATCAATATGCTGTGGTGGTGTAATCCTGCATCAGAATCCATCAACACGATGTAATATTATGAAATCAGTAGGCATATTGATTTATTGTTGTCTGTTTAGCAGTTTCTCTGATGTAATCTTTCTGCAGACAATATGTTATTGCTGTTGATATATCTTGCTGGTTACAGAGCACCTTTTTCTTCATAATTACAGTGTATTCTGTTACTTAATTGCTATTTAGACAGTAACACTCTTTTTTGTTTGTTATTGTAATAATAAATATCCTATGACTGTCATAAGGTGTATAATTCAATGGCTGTCATTACTTGAGTATTAGAAAGCTGTAAATGTTACACACTCATGGTTTTTTTTTTTTTTACCAATCTGGATATCTTTGAGATACTGCAGAGCTTACCAGACACACGTCACAGATGGATTTGTAGTAGGGAGTTGCACTGTGATGTCTGTCTATATGCAGGCTCATAGTATTCAGAGTTATGCATTCTTTCAAAATAAAATCACTTGCTGATCTATTCTTCTAGTAACTTCTAGTCACAACCTACTATCTACAGGTTACTTTAGGCCAGGGGTAGGCAACCTGAGAGCCGCAGGACTACAAGTTCCATCATGCCTCTGCAAGTCATAGCTGTAACTGCCAGTTTTGTAATCTTTGCAATGCCTCATGGAAAATGTAGTTCCACAACAGCTAGAGAGCCACAGGTTGCCTACCCCTGCTTTAGGCCTTTACAATTAGTTCATTGGTTAGCTTTAGTTGCATAGAAGGAAAAACAACTAACATCTAATTAAAGTATATGTAAAGCCTCACCTTGTAAAACAGCCTGTTCAGTTTTAACGAGAAACTAAAGGCAAAACATTTACGTATACATATAGAAAACATTCTAAATATATTTTCCCCCTTTTTATAAGTGATCACATACCATCTGTTCTCAGCTGCATAGAGAGCCCAGAGAGCAGAAACAACAGCACACTGATCTTCCCAGTGATTGGCTGTGCAGGGGGTGTGTGTCAGGACAAGCCTGATCATTGGAGGACAGCAGACTGAGTTCCAGCACAGCTAGAGAACTGACAACACTGTGCTCTCATGCCTAGTGTGGTCAGTTTTTAATAGGAAAGTAGAGTGACTGGCAGAACACCAGATATTTCACACAAAGGAAACAATACAAAGAGAATAGGATACTTTTAAATATGAGTACATAGTACAGCAGGCAAATATCAAGAATATGAAATGCCGTTATAATTATTAAGTGCCATCAACTTGAGTCTGAGTCCTTGCGACCTGATGAATAAGAGCTCTAAAAAGAATTCTGCTTTGCACTAGTCTTGTGAGATCCTCCATTGTCATCCCCACAGCTGTAGTCAATGTGCCCAACCACCTAGTAGTCTCCTTCAACCTTCCCAAACATTATTTCCTTCTCCAGTGATCTTCTGATAGTGTGTCCAAAATAGAATAGCTGCAGCTTCATCATTTGTGCTTCTAGTGACATAGCCGCTTTGATCTCTTCCATAATCTGTCTATTAGTTCTATGGGCTGTCCACAGCACACATAAACTCCTTCTCCATCACCAAAACTCAAATGAGTCGATCTTCTTTCTATCCTATTTCCATGTCCAACTTTCACAACCGTAATTGACAACTGTGAAAAATGTTAGGTAGTTTAATTTCGATTCATGAATGACTCTATGCTTGTAAACATATTTCATTTTCTAACAGCGGATACATGACCAGTCAGACTCAGAACATTGTCAGTGATGTTATCTTTGGCACTGGTCTATGGGTGGCTCTCTTTGCCACCATGCGCTACTCCCTGAAGATGCTCTTGTCCTACAAAGGATGGATGTTTGAGGAACATGGAAAGCTCTCCGCCACTACTAGGATATGGATGGTGAGTAGAACCAGTAGAGGGTAGCTAAATTTGTTATACCTCTTGTACAGTAACACATATATATATATATATATATATCAATGCTATAACCTCCCATGCCCCCCACCTCCCAAAAAAAAGATTCTAGTCCCTATATCAGCTTTCACCTAAAGCTCAACAAAAACCGGGCTAAACAAATATTGCCTAATACAAGAGCCATGTAGATTCTTACTTGAACTCCTTTGTGCCGGGGCCTCCCAGCCCTTTAAGAGTTTCAGAAGCCGGGAGGTGGGGTGGAGTTTTAGAGTCATGTGACCGCCATGATTCACTGTCACGGCGGTCACATGATTGGAAAAGGTCCGATCGCAAGGGGAGATCAGGACCTTTCCGTGAGACACGGAGATATGTGCTGGGAACACGCAGGGCACGCACTCTCAGCATATATGTATTTTTAAATGGTGCGCAAATATGCCCAGACGTCGAAAGGCCGCATATTTGCGCGCGCTCAGTGTCTAGGGGTTAATCATGTGTTCTCTGTGTATTTCTTCCAGACATATACAGTAATCAATTTTGAAACAACCCCTACACTTTGGGGGAACTTTACAAAAACTGGGGCACTCAGAATCTGGTGTAGCTATTCATGGCAGCCAAGCAGCTTCTAACTTCAGCTTGTTCATTTAGGCTCTGACAATAAAACCTGGAAGCTGATTGGTTTCTGTGCAGCGCTGCACCAGATTTCGCACTCTCCAGTTTTAGTAAATTACCCCCTTTGCCTTTGTGCAGAAGTTTTCTGTCACTGCTGCTCTCTCTTCTTGCGCAAGGTGACTGGTCTTGCATCGGCCCCCTGTCGTTTTTTGCAAGCAGCTTGTAATGGGTGGGCCTGCAGGGTCCTCTCTGCAGTTCTGCAAACTGTTCAAGGTATGTGCAGCCCATTGATGATGTTAGCACTACTTTTACAAGGGAATATATAGGATTGCAAAGGCATTTTTATTTGCAAATTTTAAAGCTTATAGGTCCTGCAGTTTCATGTCACGCTGTAGACCAGTAGCAAAGAAGCAGACCCAGAAATGGTAGTTTGCCTATTTTGAATTTGCGTAATTGTCCACTTACAAACATTCTCCCTTAGCATCTTATCTGTATATTGCACTGATATGCGTGGGAAATCACACTCATGGGAAGTTAGCATATGCCATCCTTGCAAAGGTGCAACAGTTGTTCAAACAATGAACTTATATTTTTACTAGACTGTTCATTAGCATATTACGCATTAGTGTATGTTTGGCTGTCTGCAGCTTACCGCTACAGCTTGCTGTTGTTAGATTGCAGTTGCTTATTATATTTTATTGGGCAGCACAGTGGCCAAGTGCTTAGTGCTTCTGCTTAGCAACACTGGGGTCGTTGGTTTGAATCCCAACCATGGCACTACCTACCTAAAGTCTGCATGTTCTCCCTGTGCTTGCGTGGGTATCCTCTGGATACTCCAGTTTCATCCCACACTCCAAAGAAATGCTGATAAGTAAACTGGGCTCTTGTCTAAATTGGCCCTAGTATGAGGGCAAGGATTCAATACAATATACTATATGTAAAGCACTGTGTAGATTCATGGCGCTATATATGTACCTGAAATAAATAAATAATATTGGCCTCTTGATATGGATAATAACTCAATAGCCCATCAGCTAATGAAAACCTTATGAGCAAACCTGAAGTGTATGGCTGTTGAATAATTTGTTTCATTGTACCAGAGGATAGCATACATGTTTTGGTTTTTCAGGGAATGGTGAAGTTGTTCTCTGGACGAAAGCCAATGCTGTACAGTTTCCAAACTTGTCTTCCTCGCCTCCCAGTGCCAGCTGTTAAGGACACAGTCAGAAGGGTAGGTTGTGCATTACTTCTGGCATATATGACCAAAGAAACACATGGCTGTTTGTTACTGTGTAACTGCTTTGTAGCTAAGGTACCTGTCATTATATTTGTGCTTTTTGAAAACTTTTTTTTTTTTTAAACGTGTAAAAAAAAAAAAAAAAAAAAAAAAAGTCATATTTTTCGAGTTAGGATAGTAACATGCATTGTTTACCATAGAGTAATACTATCATAACAATGAAGCACCCTCAATGGATATAAAAAACACTACCATGCTGACTGCATGGACTGCATCAATAAAGTATACCTAAAGCAAAACCTATTTTATTTTAGATAGGGAATGATTAAAAGCACTCTCGTTTTTTTTGCCATCTGTGTCTCACTGGGGAGATTTGCCTTCACTTCCTGTGCTGTGGAACCATCTCTGCCCGGGGAACACAGTGATTATTGCTAGCATCTTTAGCTGTTTAGAAGCAATAATTGCATGAAAAATCCAACAGGCTGGTTGTACTCAAGTCATACAACAATTGAATTGAGTACAATCAGCCTGCCCATAGATGTTTGGAATCTCAACCGATTCAGTAGGGACCGGCTGAGATTCAAATCATTTATGGCTGGCTTAATGTGGTTTTAAAGGCTTAAGCTTTTTTACTTTCATGCATTTTATGCATGAATGAAAAAAACCTTCTGTGTGCAGCAGCCCCCCCCCCCCCCAGCCCTCTTAATACTTACCTGAGCCCCATCTCGATCCAGCGATGTGCATGAGAGCCTCCCGGTTCTCCTGGGTCTCTCCTTCCTCATTGGCTGAGACAACAACGGGAGCCATTGGCTTCCACTACTAACAACTAGTGAGCCAAAGAGGAGAGAGCCGGGGGGTGGCGAGCCACACTCTGTGTGTGAATAGACAAACAGGGCAGGGGCTTGGGAGTGAGCCTGCTCTGGGGGCACTCGGCAGGAGGGAGTGGCCAGTAATGCTGATGGAGGACTTGAGAAGATGAGGATTGGGGCTGCTCTGTGCAGAGAGCAGGTAAGTATATTATGTGTGCAATTTTTTTTTTTAAATCTATTTATTATCACTTTAAGTTACCCTTGCAGTGTATCCCCCTCTGAATTGCAAGGTTAACTGCTCGTTTTGTCTAGGAGATGATGAATAAGGTATGGGATGTAAGTGGGCCCTTGGTGTCCTAACATCTAAAGATTGGTAAGCTGTAGCATATTAATGTTTTGTTTGTTGATTTAGATACGCTTTAACATTTACATTATGCTTTACATACAGAGGTAAGGATATAATAATGTAGAATTGCATCCACGGTGCCAATGTAAAGATGGTTTGTCCTAAAGCAAAATAATTGAAGAATGCAGCCACTGGCATACGTTGAGCTCCGTTAGCTCTCCACAAAAATGGTAGCGCACTGAATGCAGAACTTAAGAACTGTATCCAACTTCCGTGGGTTCAATCCCAGCAAGGCTCGAAAAACATTAAAGTGATACTAAAGGTTCTTTTCTTTTTTTTTTTGTAAATAAAAAACATGTCTATACTTACCTTCTCTATGCAGTGGTTTTGCACAGAGCCACCCGGATCCTCCTCCTCTTGGGTCCCCCATCAGCACTCCTGTCTCCTGCTTCTTGTCAGGTGCCCCCATAGCAAGCAACTTGCTATGGGGGTAGCCGTGCATATGCGCTCCCAAACTGCTGCTCCGTGTGTCCACAGAGCATTCACACACAGAGCAGTGGCTCAGCCCCGCCCTGCCCCCTCTGTCTCTTCATTGGCTCACTGGCTGTGATTGACAGCAGCGGAAGTCAATGGCTCCTGGGGAGACCCGGAACAGCTGAGGTTCTCGTGGACCATGCTGGATTGTGATGAGGCTCAGGTAAGTATTAGGGGGGCTGGGGGGGCTGCTACGCACAGAAGATTTTTTTATCTTCATGCATAGCATGCATGAAGATGAAAAACCTTGAGCCTTTACAACCTTGATGACAGGTAGAAGTTGTTGGATTGTAGCCTACCTAGCTTCTGGTGTTTGCCTAGTTTCAGGAAGCACTAGTCAATAGACATTTGCTCTTCAGCTATTTTTTTTGTACAATGTTCAGTTACATTAGAGTGATGATCATGCATATGTATAAAGAAATCTAAGTACAATATGTGGTCAAAAGTATGTAAACACCCCTCCAAATTATGTGCTGGTGTTTCCAGTAAATGGTACTGTTAAACTATAAATGAAGGCAAAACTTTTTTTTTAGTTTTGGACAGAGTGAAGTTGGATTAGAACACCTGTTAGATCCTTATTGCTGTCTGTGCCCCCATTAGGGGGATTCACCCTCTCTATTTGTCCTGTTTACTATTATCACTACAAAAGTCTCTCTCCTGTCAGCATGGACATGCTGCTTTGTATCTCTCTGCACAGCAGAAAGATACAAAGCAGCATGTCTCCCACGTTAAACAGCACACAATGTAAGACACACACAGCACACAGTTAACCCTTTGATTGCCCCAGATGTTAACCCCTTCTTGCCCAGTGTCATTAGTACAGTGTCAGTGCTATTTATTAGCACTGATCACTGTATTAGTGTCACTGGGGATGCCAGTGGCAGTTAGTCAGTTCCTAGTGTCAGAATGCCCTACGCAATCCTGCTATAAGTTGCTGATCGCCACTATTACTAGTATAAAAAAATTTTTTTATAAAAATTCCAGTAAATATACTGCCATTTGTAGACACTAAAACTTTCACGTAAACTAATTAATATACAATTATTGGGAATTTTTTAGCAAAGATGTAGCAGAATACATTTTGGCCTAGTATTATGAAGAAATTAGATTTTTAAAAAAAAAAATTTTTACTGGATATGTTTTATAGCATAAAGTAAAAAATATTGTTTTTTTTTTTCAAAATTGTCGGTGTTATTTTGTTTATAGCCCAAAAAATAAAAATACAGAAGTAATGAAATACTACTAAAAGAAAGCTCTATTTGTGGGGGGAAAATGACACAAATGTAATTTATGTACAGCGTTGCATGACCGTGAAATTGTCAAGTAAAATAACGCAGCGCCATATCACAAAAAATCGCCTGGTCAGGAAAGGGGGGTAAATCTTCTGGAGGGCAAGGGGCTAATACTACAGCATTTTAGACACTTCCAGCCATGTGGCAACAGTTTGGGGAAGGCCCCTTTCTGTTTCAGCATGATTGTGATCCTGTACACAAAGTCAAAGATCGTTAGTTCTGTTCACTTTGAGAAAAATTTTGGAGTTTGTGCCTTTGGAAATTTTTGTTTGGAAAGTCTGAATCAGATGTTGAAAGTTGTGTACACACTATACGAAAATCAAATGATCGTTCCTCGTATGGAGTTTTTCTTCCAATTCTCTCATAGTGTATATGCCACTTTACCCCCGATCACATATATGCGGCCATGCGTTTGAATGGACTCCCGTTCATTTGAATGGACTCCCATGCCACGCAGGGAAGAAGTCTCTGCACTTCTTTTGAAAACGCAGCCCGTATTGGAACCTCAGTTCCCAGTACGGTTGCGTTTTCCAGTGCGGGCGGCGTGCCATTAGAACGAATGGCACCCGCCCGCGGGTTCGCATTTTTCTGTGCGGGTTGTGCGGCTGCACGGATTTTCGTGCGGATCCGCAGCGGCACCACCCGCACAGATGTAAACCTAGGGTTAACCTTAGCCCTATCGATCACATTTGGGATCATTTGGAACACTGATTGGGAGCCAGGTCTTCTCACCTAACATCAGTACCTGAACAATTGTTCTTTTGGCTGAATGGGAATGAAGCTCCCACAGTCGCACTCCAAAATCTTGGGGAAGTCCAGGTTGGTAAAGTTGCAAAGAGGGGGGCAGTTCCATATTCATGCCCATGGTCTCAGTTTGGTAATATTCAGTAAGCTCATATAAGTATGGTGGTCGGGTATTCATAAACGTTTGGCCATATAGTGTATAATAAATGGGAAATGGAAGGGTAATTATACCTTGTTGTTTTATGTGAATTTGTAGGAACTCCTGGTAATAGGGTAAGTCTTTGAAGCACTGGCACAATGCACTTACTATGGTGGTAAGCTTCTAACATGCTGATGTACATGATCCAGCTATGCTTCAATTTTCTATATCAGCTTGTTGCTTCTATTTAAAAATCTCACCATTGCTTTCTAGTGTGTTTAAGTGGGAAATCTTTACAGATAATAACTATGTTTGTCCTGAAGCAATGGCTGCGTATTCAGTGTTGTTTGATAATATTTCCTTAGTTGAGGGGATTTTCCAATTGTAATAAAAAACTGAAAAGAACACTGAAAGTTGTTGTAAACTCTTATGTATACCTAGAGACTACCCTCAAGTGATACACAGAGATGAAACAGATCTTCCTACATAGGTTGTACCTGTTTATCTGCAGTGTTCTCTTCTCTACATCCATCCAAAGTTGTGAATTTATAAAGCTTGTCGGAGGGTTCAGAATAATGGGGGCGGAGAGCTGAAATTACACACTGCAGAGCTCAGTGAGGATAGGTCTGAGAGCTGATTAGAGGGAAGGGACCCCCCCCCCCTCCACACAGCTCACAGGGACAGAGCTGAGGCTGTCAATCTGCTAGACGTCCCTCGCCTGTCAGCATTTTTCTCTAGGTGTCAGGAAACTTGTCAGAAGTGACTCATACTGATAGCAGAGAAACAAAGCAGCAGATACAAATGACACTTAGTGCTCTGGATTGAGACAAGTACACACTATAAAGGGATATGCTTTGTTCTTATTTGTCTGAGGCTTACAACCACTTTAAAGCTGTACTCCTGGCAAACAGCTAAGTTTACAATTCATACATGCTAACTGCCTTATCTGTCAAAAGCTTTATACTTTTGTCCAAACACTTTTCTGATTTTTAACACCTCTGCCAGGCAGCACAGCCAGGAGAGTGACACCATTTTCTTTGTTAGAGTTAAGGAATACAGTGGTGTCCTCTCCCTGCTCTCAGTTGGAATAATTCTACAATGAAAGAACAGCACTAATAAGTCACCAGCTG